ACGTTTTTGAATATCTAGATGGTCCCACATCTGGACCAAAGTCGTTTTCCGGGCCAATTGGAAAGGCACGCTTAAATTGTAATATATTACCCGTAGTCAAATTTAAAATCATTGATGGCTTTCTGCCGAATGTAGACACTAATGATCTCAGCAAAGATCAAAAGTATCTTTTGCGCATCTCTCAAGCTATTCAAATAGGGGAATGTCCTCTTGATCTTGCTAAGGCATATCCAGGTTTAATCTCTCACTCCCGTTGGCTAACAACAGCAAATAACATACTCAGATTGTATATATCAACACCAAAACCCTCTACTGCTTTAATTCAAATAGTTGAATTTACTCTTACATGTTATGTTCAAGTATGGTTTTCTATATAAAAACATAGCTCAATATTAGATGGACCTAAAAATCTCTTCTTGATGATACAGGCATCAAAAAGCTTAACACAAACGTTGCAGGAGGTTGTCCATCCTGTAATACAAAATAATGCTTATTTCGCGCATCCGGAGAACTTGCTGTTGTCCATGTGTCTGGATGAAAGAAAGCAAATTAGAGAGATTGCATTCAGGTGCATTTTAGAGGCTCGGACTAGCAAAGCACATGATAAAAAGAAGTCTGGAATACGCAACTTTATTATTCCGAAGTTAAACTTTGGCGCCTCTGAATACAGTGATTTAATTCATTGGAGTAATCAAATACTCGTTTCACCACCACTCTTAAGGAACGTTCCAAACGAGGAAATTTCTCGACTAATTGAATCACAAGAGATTCCACAGTGGGACTTTCGAAATTTTCCCTGTCACACGCAAGCTGTGGAACGTTGTGTAAAACTGGTAACATTGTCAGCAGAAAAAGTGGTGGGAGTTGAAAATAGAGATGGATTGATCAGATCGACTCTAAAATCAAGGGAAAACATGCCCAAGTTTGATACAAAATCAGACTTTGCATTTACACAGTAAATATGTACTTTTATACAGGGAAGGCACTCGAAGTTTACCTATTAAAAATGCTATAATTTTGTAAATTTTTTGTTTTGTTTTTAACATCAGGTTATCATAAAAACATGTCAAGTTTAAAAACAAAAGTATATTACTGTTCGATATAGCCACCTTTAGCGCGAATGATAGCTTCGAGTATGTCCGGGAGTGCTTCAGATGCTGCACGAATGTAGTCTGATGGACTACTAGACCACATTCGTGCAGAATGTGAAGCATTCCCGGACAGACACGATGCTATTAATCGCGCTAAAGGTGGCTACATCGAACAGTAATTCACTTTTCTTAAAATTTAACATGTTTTTATGATGACCTGATGTTTTAAATAAAAATAGCCAAAGTAGACAAAATTATAGCATTTTTAATTGGTAACACTTCGAGTGCCTACCCCGGTAGAATATGGTTAGATGGTTGGGTAGGGCGGGGGGGGAACTCAAAGTGCAGCCACCTACTCGTGGTGAGTTATGTTTCGTTTCTAGTCTCTATGAAACGGGCTAAGTGCTGCATTTACATTATGAAACAAAAAGGCATACAAAATTTCGTTACCAAACAATATTCTCTTAATTTTTCTTAAATTTAAAACTTTGACCTCGTTGCCCGAATGGAAGATATTCATCAATTCCAAAATTTTTTCTGTGTTTTATTTGTCTTTAATTACAGCAAGTTTTCCGCGCTATTACGTTTGTAAATTCGGAAAAATTGTTTTTTGGCTCCACTCTACAGAGGTGTTCACTGGGACTTGGTACTGGGGTATGTAAAATCAATTCTAAATTCATGAAAGAAGATTAGGGTTATAAGAAAAAGGGGCGTGACACTTCCTGTACAAATTGACTTTTTCTTGCCACATATCTCTGGAATTATTTGTGGAAGAATACTGGAACTTGGTATGGAGTTGTGTATACAAAATGTATCAATTGCTCATGGAAAAAATGTGAGTTATTAAAAAAGGAGGCATGTCGCCTCCCATTCATACTAAAAAATTCTTAATACATACCTCTGGAAGGATAGAAAATCTCTGCAAGTATTTTAAATTTGTTATGGAGATTTATTTTATAAGTGACGTACTGACAGAAAAAATTTCATTTAATGGAAAAGGAAGAGCCGGGTTCGGCCTTATAATCTAAAGCTCTCATGATGCATACATACCTCTTGAGGCATTTGCTACAGTAATGAGAAGTGGTATTTTATCAAGGCCAGGTTACTAAATTTGAGTTGGAAATATTAGAGACCGCCGTGGCAGCTCCAAGAAGGTTACAAGTTCACGGGTCGTATCCTTGGAACCATTTTAAGGTAAACTTAGAGGGATTGATATCTTTCGTATGCCTAGCGCGCAGACGAGATTTTATAATTTCATAGTTTTGAACGGCCTAAATACCTTAACTGGCTTAAAAAATAACTAGCTATAATAAAATGGGCATAAAACTAAAATATAACATCATTAAATTATTTTTCATATTTGTATAAAAACGTGGGNGGCTTAAAAAATAACTAGCTATAATAAAATGGGCATAAAACTAAAATATAACATCATTAAATTATTTTTCATATTTGTATAAAAACCTGGGGTGAAACCCGCGGGTACAAGCTAGTATATATATAAAAACAAGAAAGATCATTGTAGAGGGCATCAAGAGGATGACATGACATCAAGTATTGTTTTATACGAACTTTTTAAGCACCGACTCAATTTTTTTTTAATACATAATAACAGTTATTTTGCCATTTTCACCGTTTCATAATACGCCTATTGTAGGAAGCCACAATCAAATTGTAGGATCTTTCTTTTGAGTCCCCACATCAAGGCGCACACCATTTGTAAATTCAATGAGAGGTGTGGTCAATCAATTAGGACCTTAAGTGCTAAGTAGTCAGTTCTATATCGCTACTAACTTTTATCTATGCTCAAATGCATAGTTGGACTCTTTATTTATATATGTATATTAAAGTGGTTCATAAAAACACTCTTTTTGGAAATTCATAAACGCTACATCAGATTATTATTATTTTGAAAATTTGACATCCGATTCGTAATCAGCAACCCCAGAAACCCCCTGGTAACAAGTTCTAACCCATGACAACGCGTAAATCGTTCAGTATCAACGTTTTAATTTTACTAGTCTCTTTTCGAGAGTATATTTTCGGGCACTAGGCCCATTCTAACTGACCAAGACAGGTATGTAATTAAGGAAATGTTCCCCAATAATACCACAGAAATTATATGCAAAAACCACATTTTTAGCTGCATTTTAACATGTCAAGAAAATAAAAAAATTGAGAACATCAGCGTTTTTATAAAAAAACCGACCAGCGCGACCTCTGAAAATTTTTTTTTTTTTCAAAATAAAAAAACACGTTTCTCATTTTTTATCACAAATAACAATAATTTGAGGTAGCGTTTATGAATTTCCAAAAAAAAAAATTTTAAACCCATCTAATGTATATATATTTTTTACGTACTCCGGATTTGCCCGTTGAAATTAACTTTAAAGATGTAACTATGAAAGAAAATTTTTTTTAGCTCTTGTATAAAAAAGTCCTTTAACAGCAAAGTGTTAGGCCGGCCCAATGAGATCATTTTTGCGGATTCCGCCTATAAGTGCCTCAACTTAGAAACCATTATTACACGACGATTTGAAACGCGCAAATAATTTTTAATAATAAACAATGGCATGTCAATTTAAAAAAATCGGAACGTACTATAAACCAAGACATATTGGGCCATATGCATAAAAACTATGCAAAGGCTTTTTCTTAAAATTTCAGACCTTTTCCTCGATTTGTTCAAATAAATTTAGGTGAAAGGTATGAAATTTTAAGAAAAAAGCAATTGGTTAGCTTTCATGCATACGGCTCATTGTACCTTACTACGAGCATTCTCCCTTTTTTTCTTGAAATATAAAATAAAAAATTTCGTACTTTGTTTGTACGATTTTATAGGCGTAAAGTTCTATATTAATGTCTCCACAAAATCTGAGTTAATTCAGGGAGATTTATTGTAAAGTGCATAGGCTTTTAAAAATCATAACCTACTACACTTTAATTGTTACTTGCAGTTATAATTTTGTTATATGTAGGTGTTTTATATTTGCAGCATGTAAATTCAGTAAATTAACTTTTAGTGTAATATAACACTATTAATTTGTTTACAAAATATACTTCTTTCCCGGCTGCGTTTGGCATGTTAAAGGGTCTCACAAACACAATTCCATATTAGGGGCCTTTTAACATCAGAAAGCACTGGCGTTTAAACCCTTGTCGTGGCAGAAGTAAAGTCTCACAATCGGCACTAAACTCTTATTTACACATATATATATATATAATACATAAGTTTACGAATATGACTTTTTTAAAGCAAAAGACAAGTTGTGATGCAATATAAAAATTTAAATTACGTATGTATGTGTTGATGTGACGTAATTTATTTGTGTCTATTCTCCGACTTTAAATTTAACTTAGCATGCTTTTCAAAAATTTTAATAACTCTCCACATATTAATTTTGACTTTTCTCGCACAATCAGTGGTTGAGACTAAAATAATGAAGAGATCAAATGACTGAAAAATTTTGACCAGATAGCATTTATTTTCAAAAAGAATTAACGCCGCTTCGAAAATCTCACCAGAAACACAAGTCCTCACGAGTTATTTTTTTAATGTTATTTTATTTTTTTGCAATTAGATTGTATAATTATCACGATTGAGAGAATACAAAGGTTGCGCCGATCTCGGACCGCTATTCCTCTCTTAACGAATTTGACAGAATCGTTGTTTGCATGACGTCACACTGGTGCAACTTGTTTACGTTTTCCTTGCAACATTTTTTCTTCTTCTTCCATTCTTGCTCACGTTTTGGCATTTCTCTCTCGCAATTGCACAAGTGTGACGTCACACAAAAGTTATTCTCAAAAATCCTCTCTGATCGGCGCAATCTTGTATTCTATCATTCTTGTATAATTATGTTCCATTTTTTAAAATCAGTTTCAATAAGTATAGAAACGTTAATTTACTATTCCAGTAACATCAATTTTTTAAGAGCAATTATTTTGGCTCAACTAATTATTCCATTTCCTTCGGGCAGTAAAACGACCTTTTTTAACTCCCGATTTTTTAACTCACTACAATCACTTCTCTGCTTTACCTCCAACTATATTTTTAATGTGAAAATAAGTATATTAATCGTATTTCTTGAATTGTGCTGCTACCACTTTCTCACTTTATTAACTTTTATGCAGACATATCACGCCTTTTCACTTAACCGCTATTTGCAGTTTTTTTTTATTCCGAATATATTACAAAGTGGCACACCAAACCGCTTAATTGCTTGTACATTTGGCGTTAAGGGGATGGATGACACGCTTGCTTTCAACCATCTGGGAGGATAAGGTGTTTGCTGGCGTTATGTATACGACATGTACGGTTTGAGTGGCTTCCGCTTTTTGACAGTTAACTTTTTATGAGTGACAGCGACCTTCCATGCTCTTAAGTACATGTACTAGTGAACTTTTTATAGGCGTCATAGCATCATCCGCGTTCACTCGCACGAACATCTTCAAAAACAGGAACAAACTGTTGGCACAAAACCACATCTGTATACAGCATCCCGTATTTAGCTAAGCGAAACAAAACTTACCACAGTTGGTGGGCTCGACAAATTCAACTTGCTTTTATTACTCGTTTGCGCAATTCAATGAGTGAGTACAAATGTTTTTCAGTACTTTGTTAAGTGGATGTCGAGTGAAACTTGAGCAGTCACGAATTATACATACAATAGTATTGCAAAAGAAATGCTGCTGAAAGGAGTTGTATAGCGTATGGACTTTTAATTATTTACTTTATGTCGTAAAAGTGCGAAACATACCTATAGGGTGATACATCTAGACCTTGGCTTTTTATACCCGAGCGCACTTGTGCACAAGGGTATTATAACTTTGTTCACATAACGGTTGTTTGTAATAGGCAAAACGAATCGAGAGAGATATAGACAAATGTATAACATAAACTAGCAAATACCCGGCGTGCTTCGCGACGCCTCGTGAAAGTTAAGGAGAAACCGTATTGAAACTCAAATGGGAAAACCTCTTCTGGGGAAGAATTTTGCCTTTATTAGTATCAGTGTTGCCAGAACTTTT